GTATATAGTCATGTGTACCTGGTCCTAAGTTGTAGCTGACTGACTGATTGAGGATTGTTCATTTGTGAAATTATAATAATAATCATTTATTTAATTAAATCAAGCATTAAAACAATGTCATATGATTTAATATTTTATGATTATTACCTTTCATCTTTGTTTTTTTTTTTTGGGGGGGGGTGTTGTTACCGACTAAATGGGCTGTTGTTTAGGGATATTGTTTTAAATTGTAACGAAGACAAAAAAAGAGAAAAGAAATGATATGGTTATTCACCTGACAACATATGCCCTTCATTGTGATGGGGTGGGGTGGGGGAGAAGAATCAAGTAGCTATTTTTAATAATGGTATATAATAAAATAATGTCTATGTTTATTATTAGGATGTATCATGGTGGTTAAACGATATAAAGGAGATTGATACGAAACAAACAAAACAAAAACCATCATCTTCTAGTAATGTGATCACTTTGAATGGTTATTTTGATATCAAGTTATATTTTGACAAGTTAGATAGTTACAAGAGATGGAATTTAGAAAGTATTTAAGTCTTGTCAGTTAGATATATTTGTTTCTTTAAGTGTTTTTTCTCCCCATTGTTATATATAATAGATATATATAACATACCCTTGTGAGCTAACTTAATTTTGCATCGCTTTTCAGAGGAACCAGACACTATTCAGACGTTCACGTGACAACCCGAGCAATACACCACAATCCCGCCCCACAAGAGAACCAGACACTATATGGCCTTCAACGCTATAATCTAAATAGTAAAGCTCAATCCTTTGGCGCAACCACTCAGGTACCAAACACCCTGGTGGACCATTTGCACCGTTCATATACAAATTCACATCACATATATAATTATTTCGATCAATGATCGTGTAAATCAATTATGCACAACATGAACAGGCCAAAGTTGTCCCATTTCGTTTACACGACAGTCAAACTCATTACTGTTAGCAATGACGACATGCCTTACAATATTCTAATGAAAATAGATCTTGAGAACATTGAAAAGCAACAATCAGTATGAATGAAATCGGTTAACCAGCAAACCAACTTTCCAGATGAACAGTCAGCAAAACTTGACAAAGTAATGCCAAACCATCTACAATGTCAGTGGCGAACCTTCAGTCTCACATATGACCTTCAAATGTACATGGCAATATAGCTCATACTGCATACAAAACATATGTAGTGCGAAATTTTCATTTTTCCGACTTCAAAACCCTGAGTTAGGGGTAGTATCCCTCTTCCTATTGTGACTTAAACTTAATTCTCATTGTAGGAAAAGATAGATATATTTTTTGAGATTATTCTACAGATTATATCAAATCGAGGATTTTATCTTAATAGGGCTTTAGGTCGTCATGTCATTCTAAATTATGATTTATGATTAAGAGGTAAATGAGTAGCCTATTCACTTCCTAATACAGTCACCAAATCGCGGACACTGAGTATCGTACATAGACATATTTTCACAAATACTTCCAACATTTTGATGATAGTTGTAGTAGTTCTCCAAGTTTTAACTCCGTACAGTAGAACTATCCTAAAGGTTCATATTGAAGACTGTGACTTTGAAATTGTTTAAGAGTTTTTTTTGAGTTCAATATGTTCTTCAATTGTAGGAATGTGGCCCTTTACCAATTCTCTCATTTACTACGGCGTCAGATCCTTCATGTTCATCGATGGTGCTGCTGCCCATGTATGTGAAAGTTTCCATATCTTCCAGAGTTTTTTCCATCAAGTGTAATTGGGTTGACATTCTCCGTTTTGTATTTGAGGATCTGGTCTTTCATCTTGTGTATGTTGAGGACTACTGCAGGCAGAGGTTGCTGCTACACTGTTTGTCTTAGTCTGCATCTATTGATGTGTATCGGATAGAAGGGTTAGTTCATCTGCGAATTTCATAGCGTGTAGTTCCATCCAACCTGTCCATTTTATTCCGTGCTGCCCCTCAGACATGGAAGTCTTAATAATCCTGTCAACCACCAGTTGAGATAAATGGGGCGAGAGTTAGTAGCTTCATTTAACTGCGGTCCTTACTTGGAATTCACCAGTCTTCTATGCACCACATTGCAATGTAATCCGTCGTATGAATTGCAGATGATGTTGACTATCTTCTCAGGTAATCCATAGTGCCGAAGAAGGTTCTATACGATTCTCCTATTTACTCTGTCAAATCTCTTTTCATAGTCAAGGAAGTTGATGTATAGTGACAAGTTCCATTCAATTGATTGTTCAACAATTATCCATAGTATCATGATTTGGTGGTTCATAGAATAAGGATCCGCATACGATACCGAAGTTCCTGCTTTCGGGTTAGCGGATGAGCACTGCTAAGAAGTCTTTTTAAGTATGACCTACCACTTATCTGTTGAGTTTACATAAAATTATACCTCTTCGCAAAGATAATTAGGTAACCTTGGGTTAACATTCAATGTTCGATTAGCTTAAATAATGAACATACACTCTCTAGGTAACATATACTCATAAAGCAAATATATTGAAAACATTTATAAGTTATTTAATTGATTTAGAATAGTATATTTTTACTGTACGGAGCTGAAACGTGGAGAACTACTACTACATGCATCGTCAAGAAGGTACAAGTATTTATAAATAGTTGTCTACGCAGAATACTCAAAATTCACTGACCGGATACTATCAGCAACAACGTTTTATGGGAAAGGACAAACCAGCTTCCAGCTAAAGCGAAAGTTAGGAAAATACATTGAAAGTGGATAGGACATACACTAAGGAAATCACCAAACTGCACCACAAAGAAAGCCCTAACTTTGAATCTGAAAGGGAAGCGAAAAGGTGGAAGGTCAAGGAACACATTACGCCGGGAAATAGAAGCAGTTATGAAAGGGATAAGTGTTAACTGGAAAGAACTGGAAAGGATTGTCCAGGACAGTGTTGGATGGAGAATCCTAGCGTGCGGCCTATGTTCCTCCACGGGAGGTAACAGGCGTTTGCAAAGTAAGGTAGACACGTTTAAAGTTAAGCATATTTCAGTAATTTATCAAAAGCATTGTTTGAAGAAAATTGATAATAAAAATAAACAGGTTGATCTGTGCTATATGATAAGTCTTCTAATTAAACGCTAGATTCAGTTCCTAAGCTTCTTCTAGTAACCCCAGGCAAAATATACACAGCAATCTGAACACGAGAGAAAAGGTGCGGAGTGTGGAATAAATGCTTTGCTTGAGAGATCCGTTTATGTACAGAAAATCTAGCGTATTTATAGTATTTCAAATGCCATTGAGTTTTCCGGATAATTGTGGAAAGCTACTAAATATGGTAACAGTATAGGTGTCGTGCAATCAGAAACTGGACATGTGAATTCTCATTTACTAGATATTTTTGACAACACTTCTATTGAATGATGATTAGACAAAATGTTTCCCAGAGTTTTAAGAGCCTTTGTCGTTGTTTTTTCAAGGAGTTTCCTGGATCTCGTCAATACTATGATCAACATTGTTGTTTTCCACTTTGGGGTCACTATATGTGACTGCTTGTAAATACATTAAATAAAATATTATACTAGTGTTATTCTGATTCTCTATTTCAAGTCATGGATCTTGGTTCTAATATAAAGTGATTAATCACATTATTGTATTAAAGTGTCATCATAATATACATCCGAGAGAAGAATAAAAGAGAGAACAAACCAGATTTCAGTGGAGGAAGAAATCAGGAAGAAACTCTGGAAGTGTATAGGATACACATTGAGTAAAGCACTCAACTCCGTTACAAGGCAAGCCCTCACATGAAATCCTGAAGGTCAGAGGAGAAGAGGAAGACCAAAGAACACATTACTCCGAGAAATATAGGTAGACATGAGAAGAATGAACAAAAATTGGATAGAACTAGAAAGGAAGGTCAATACAGATTGAATTGGAGAATAATGGTCGTTGGCGTATGTTCCATTGGGAGTAACAGGCGTAAGTAAGTAAGTAAGTAAGAGAAGAATAAAAATATTTTAAACCGTCCATTATATTAAAAATCATAATAACTTGGCGACCTTCTTGAACATCTGGGCTACCTTGTTCTATTACCTAGATATTTCAACACGTCCTCTGTTACCTTCTTTGTTTTAATCCATCGTTATGGCTACTAATTGCATAACTCATTCAGGTGCGTTTATGAAAAGTTTATGACATTTCGCTGTCCATGTTATAAAAGAGACCAATCAAAGACATAGTAGTTACTGGCAATATCCGACGAAAAGAATATCCAATTATTAAGATATTGATTAACTGAACTGGTATCATCTAAACTGGCGATCACTCCGAATTTATCATCAATATTGATCAAGAAGTAATAAAATGGAAACTATTTTGAAATACTTTACTCTAAGAATTCTATATTGTATCAAAAGTATAATATTGAAGAAAGGTACTACTAGTATTAATAATAATAATAATCTATTTAAACACATGAATATTGGTACAAAAAAGCACCAGAGACATATGCGCCACGCAAATCTCATTTGATTTGTGTGAGAGCTGTGATACTGCACGGATGACCAGACCGAAGCAGGTGGTTTTCTTAGGGGGCAACACCCCCAGCCTTTGACCTTAAGGTCTGATCCACAAGGCAGTGGAGCATCGTGAGGAAATGCAGTCAAATGGTAGCCGGTGACCAACGATTGATTCATACGCCATTTTTTCCTTCAGGATACTGGATCCCATGTGAACCATTGATTTGGAATGAGGGTTTTCCAACTCCCCTAGACGGACTTTCCGTGTCCACCAACCCGGTTAAAGCGCCGTACATTCGCTTTTCATTCTCTCAATTTCGTAAACAACACCGGTACCAAGAGAAGGCAGTGAGTAGGACTTCACTGACACAGTCCGTATACGCATGACCATGTGAAAGCATTTCAAGAGGTTGGGTGACGACTCCCTACTCTCGGTCGTACGAGGGCATTTGGGGGCAAAAATAATGAATAATAATAGAATATAATACATAAATAAATACTTACAATAAATCCATTATACCATTGTTTAATTTGTCGTTTAGTAAAATGTGTATTCTCTTTAAGAAATGTTAAATCTTCTCTTGATAATTTTTTTCTTGGTCCAACAAAATTTCCCATAATTTCAAAAACAAAAAAAATCTTATTTTTGTGTATTTTTTTTCTTTTGATGAATAAAGTAATCTATTGAAATAAAGGGGGGTGAGGGAAAAAAGAGAGAGGGGGAAAAAAAACACATTTAAATTGTATATATTTCATTAATATAAACTATCAGATATAAACAAAAGAAATGATAATGAGGCTGTAATTTAGGGACAAAACAGTTAGATTTAAGATTATGAGTCTTGGATTTGAACATGAAGCTCATTCATTAATTTGATTGGATACTATTTTGACAATAGAGCTAATATCAGCAAAGATGGACAGTGGCTAGCAGTGAAATTCAGTTTGACCCACGTTTCGTCTCATTTTGGAACTCGTCAGCTAGATGTGCCTACATCTCAAAGTTGATGTTCACTCTGGAACTCGAACCCAATACCTATCGCGTCAAACGCCATCATGTTATCCATTCAGATACTGAGTCCTGATAACCACTTGATTGTGCAATGGGGTGAATTTTGAATTCACTTGATATTGTCTGTTTGAATCTTTCCATTGGTTTTTAAGTACTGTACTTGGTACATATGTAAATATGAGACTGATCGATTGCAGTCCTTTAAATCAATGGGAAGATTCAAACAAATAATATCAAGTGAATTCATAGCTGATATCAGTTCGTAATGAATACCCTTAATCTAATACCTAATGTTAACCATCAACTGTAAATCATAATTTTAATTCTTCACACTAGTTTAGTAGGTGGACATTCTGAAGACCACTTCGGCGTCGCTGGAAGGTCGTCCATAAATTATAGCCTAATTGAAGTAGATTTCGCTTTTCTCAATTTAGACTAAATTTTTAATAGTAAACGTAGTTATCTTCATTTCTAATCTGATTTGCTTAAAAATAGATCAGTAGTAAATATGATATTTGTCAAGAGTTAACATCATTTGGTATACTACTGAATACGACGAAGGATTGACCATTTACTTTGTCACAGTATGGAATTCTCAAGCAATATCTACATACACACACAATACACAAGTCAAATCATCGTATGTATCATCCATAAATTAAATCTACCTTCGTCAACATCTTTTGAAAAGCCATATTCGCTTATTGAGTAGTGACTTGCTTCAGGATGAGCTTCTCAAGTTCTAATGGACAGTCATAAATGGTAGAGTTTACTCGTGAAATAGCCATCAGTAGTAAAACTGGATGAAGATTGAGCTAGATTACAAATCAGGTGAATTTTAAGAATGCATACTATTGAATTTCAACCTTGTAGTCTAGATCTTAAACATTCACTATGTGATCTGAAAACTCTAGATCCGACCTAAGATTAGGTCTTGAGTGCATACTAATGTGAAATCTTACATCGAAGCAAAATCTGTTAGTACTTCCTTCTTGTTCTAAGTAATCATTGATTACTGTAATTAAATAAACTACCAGATTTATTTACTTAGATTATTTTTTTCTGGTAAGCGTTTTTTCAACGATTTAGTTTTATGCAGGATGGGGTCTCTAAACCCATGCCCAACTCTCATCTTTTAACCGAGCTTGGGACTGGCAGCAGCCCCAGAGGGGTTCCAGGTGGAGTTTTCTATATCTATTTTTCATCAAGTATTTGTCAGTTTATTGAACAATCAGTTAGTTTTTTTTTCATTTTCTATTGTTTAAATGAATTAGATAACGGTACGCATGTTAACATTTCTAAAAAATTTCAACTTACACTAATTGTAATTTTGTGCTAAAACGTACAGAATATCAAATTAGTAGTGTAGTGTATGCTACTGATGTTGACAGATATAAGTAGTATGTTTCATCAATCGAAAGTAAAATGTCTGGAGGTAGAAGGTTAAGAAGATTGATATGGAAACGAAAGAACAATGAAGTCTGAAACACTTGATTGATATTTTGCTAATGAAGTATTTACTGTATAGTTCTTAGATTTTACTAAGTCATTCTGTGATTTGTATACTGAAATACATTCAATTGTCCCAACTTATGTTTTCACTTACTACAGCTGTGAGGACGGTCCACAGATGAACTTGAGGAAGCTCTAAAAAGCTCAGAAGGAGCTGAACATATTCCATCTAATTAGCTTTTGGAAGATTATTCCTGAATCACTACGTGTACCTTCCCTTTTGGACAAATGCTAATAGCCCCCTGTGTGTGGATTGGTTAACTATAATGATGATTTCGTTTTTACTAAAAACTATAAATCCCTGACAGTTTTGTACCGTAACTGACACTGTGTTGGGAATAGCATTCCCCTTTACTAGTCTTCTATCTTCTCTCTTAAGACGTTGCGGGTTACATCGTTCAAGTAGTCTAGTAGTACACGGTATAGCAAGAATCCAAAGATCTAGATATAACAACAGCAATAAGGCTCTTTATAAAACCAACTGTGAGAACAATTTTTAGGTAAATATTCATTGTGAGACTACAGTATTCTGGGTTCGATCCCTAGTCAGGGTCGTAATCATCTACTTCTGTAGTGTCCTATATTAGAGTAAGACACCCAGTCAATGCTTAATAGCTTTTAATGGCAACTAAAGTGAAATCAATCTATGACAAATATAATTTACAGATTAGACTAATCTATACAGAAACCACTCAGAAGAAGGAATGTTTAAATAACAACCCATCATTTCTCTTTTATTAAGATTTGTGACTGTAATTTCCCCTCAATTACATAAATGTTGTTTGTTTTTTTTGTTGTTTTTTTGGAGGGGGGAAGGGGGAATAAAATGACAACCAATTACATTCTATACCTGACCATCACCAATATACTACTACTTATATGGATATAAGTAACCTACACCATAGTAACAATCTATACATTGTCTAAGTTCATATCATTGGTTATTTATCATTTCTCTTAGATATTCTATTACATTAGAATGAATGGATATTACTTTGATTATGTTCAAGAAATTAGACCGGAAATATGATTTACAATTTAATTCTATTATGGTGTATTATGAAATGAAGTAGATTTGTATATATGTATGTCTGTACAATTAATTCTTGAAAATTGAACGACCATCTTTCATTGTAGTGAGGTAGATCTCTGTCTTTACTTGATATTGGATTAACTTCATTGCTTAGGACTTCTCACAAGAACTTCGAGAATTTACTCAAGAAGCTAATCATTAACGAGCACATGGTAATAATTAGTACGGAGTTATGGATGCCGGTTTAGTGATTTAGAGATTAAATGTTTGCGAATGAGACCGGAGGTCCTCGGTTCGAATCCTATGAGCGGGGTCGTGGATGCTCATTGCTGTAAAGAAAATGTCTGTACAGTGCTTTCATATTTTTAACGATTATCTATTATTAATTGATTTCTGATCATAATCAAGAACTTAACAATCTTCACAATCCCATACTGATAAACACTTATTAGTATGCTTATAGCTCATTACATAAGTCAATATGAGTATTTTATTTAAAATATAAAAAAGGGGTTTTGTAAAGATTTATTATTTTCATAGTTGTAAGCGTGAGTCAATTGAAGCTAGACCATCATGGAAAACCTGGAATCACTGAACAGCCGTTTCGTCCTATCGTGGGATTCCTCAGCAGTGCACATCAACGACCTCGCCTAGCGAGATTCGAACCCAGGACCTACCAGACTCATGATTTCGGCTATGAAAATACTGAAATCACCACAAAACCCCCTTCTGAAGTTTAAAAATTTATATGATTGAGTTCTATTGTTTCATTAACATCTTGTGTAATGAATGTACATTGATAAGGAATCTCAACTGTTATTGATGTTCAGGACTGTGATTGATCAGTCTCTAATTGGCATATGTGCATATTGTGCGTAGTGCCTCGACATAGCCTAAATTCACAAGCATGCTAAGCAAAGATGTATAGATAGTGGCTAGCAGTGGAATCAAGGACGCGCGTGCCGTCCTATTTGGGACTCGTCAGCTGTATATACCTACATCTCAGAGTTGATGTTCACTCTCCAACTCGAACCCAGTACCTTTCGCTTCAAACGCCATTATGTTATCCACTCGGCCACTGACTCCTGATAGCGACTGACCAGTTGCAGTCCTGAAACATCAATGGGAAGATCCGAACAAATAATACTAAGTGAATTTAAAATTCACCCCATTGTACAAACAAGTGGCTATCAGGACTCAGTAGCTGAGTGGACAACGTTATGGCGTTTGAAAAGAACGGTACTATTGTTCGAATCCCAGAGTGAACATCAACTCTAAGATGTAGATACATCCAGTTGATGAGTCCAAAATAGGACGAAACGCTCGTCAAACTGGATTCCACTGCTAGCCACTATCTATCTTTACTAAACATAATTTAGTTTAAATTTACGTTTTCTTTGTTCTTTTTTTTTTCCTTTTTCTCCTCTTTTCATCAGTTTTCCTTTTTAACATACTTAAACGGATCAAGTCAAATTCTTCAATTGAATAAATCTTTTAATATGATCAATAATAGTACTTTAATTTATATACAATAAGGTATCTGATCAATAAAATTACTCAAGATGTTAGTTTCTATGCATCTATTTTCCATATTCTAAATGTATGTATGTATGTGAATGTATACCCTAGAGATATGTATATGTATCCTAGGCATATGTATATATCTACAAGCTTACATCCATTGTTGTTAAGTAATAACTATTGACGGATATTATATAGAGTTATTACATTAGAATTATTGAACTCAATCAATTCACCTGTGAAAAAAAAACAATAATGACACGAGAGAAAGGAAGTAATCATAATAAGAGGAACAGGGCAAGAGAGAGAGAGAGAGTGGGAGTGTATGAGAAAGTTGGGGTGGATTTGAGTTCTATACTCAAACCTTTTACGACTAGTTGAATAATGGGTCTATTATTATTATTATTATTATTATTATTATTGTTACTGGTGCTTTAGTTTCATTTGTTTACATCTGAAAAGGTGATTTAAGAGAGAAAACAAAACAGAACTGAAGAATTCAAGGACAAGTTTATGTATATAAACAAATCCCTTTTTATTATCACTATTACTATTGTGGTGTATGCTACTTATGTCGATAGACATAAATAGTATGTAACAATA